AACTCAGTATCGACACATTTAGATTCTTAAGATTTTATTATAGTACAGAAGAAAGACACAAATCGAATTGAAATATTATTATAGACATAAGACATAACTCAGAACCTTTCAATATAATTCAACACCCTGGATACGCTCCAGTATTGTTCGGGGTCAATGTGCAGCGGCGCGCACATTTTATGATTTAATAAAAGAGTTTATACTTATGAAATTAATTGCGACTCCATGCCCGCCTGTACCATTTCTAGTCCGGCTTTTTGTGATGTTTATTCAATGCATATTTATATGTTTGCTCACTCAAAAACGAAGGGCTCTCTGTCATGTGTGTTTGTTAAATTAATTCACATTAGAAAACGGGGCTCTATTTCATCCCTTAAATGTAGGTATGGTGTGAGTCATTTGTAAAAATTTGCCTCTTTATTACGAACGTAGATTTAAATGATTATATTGCAACGAATGCTATAATAGTGATGATGACTGCTATAAATAATATATGAAAATATATGATGTCTTTTAAATTAAATACAGTTTTCACAGTTTTATTCCAACATAGTTTGGAATGTTTTATCTAGATACGTCATTTAGAATTTAGCTACTTCACTAGTTTTCCTTCTTCTAAAATTCACGTGTACGAGGTAGCGGGCAGAAAACTAGCTTATCTATAAAATATTTCCAATTTTTTGACAAACATTACAATGTTAAAGTTATTTAATAATTTGACTGGACTGTTTCTATTTTATAAAGAGAGAGTACTGACATATATGTAATTAAATAAAATACGTGGACATGAGAACGATAGCAGAACTATGTCCGAGACAAAACAAACAATTCCTTTCTTTATAAGAGAAAATACATGTCTTAGCTGTCACAGCAAAAAAGCTTATGAAACTGTCTTAAGTTGGAAACTCTGGGGAAACTTTTCGAGACATATCCGTTTTTCCACCCTCTGTTAAAACAATTGTTTCGTTTTGTGAAGTACACAGACATAAAATACATTTTCAATCATACAACTTAGTTGTTTAGGTAGAGTTTTTTTTTAATAGATGTAAATGGAATAGTAACAGCGTCTCTACTATTAATTTAAATTGGCGGCGGGGTGCCAGATTAAGAAGGATGATGAGGTAGGATTAGTTGGGTCATCACCTGAGTGAAGAGTGTATTAACCATGATTAATTCCAAGAGTCCTTCCTCTATGGAGGTCAATCTGACAAGTGTCGTAATTGCTATAGTTATAATAGGCAAATGTAGTATTAATATTTTGTAAAAAATGTTTATTTTGAATGTTGCATGATAGTTTCAAATACCACAGGATCATTCCTGGTGCCAGTACTTGGGGAGGATGGGCTTCAAAAAAAGGGATATTTAACGACGAACTCTGAACATTTGAAATGACGATGAGAATGACTAATCATCACTTTAAACCAATAATAATAACTTCTGTGTGCGTTTTGTAAATATACAATGATTAAACTTAAAATAACATATATTCATATTTGGAAGCCCACATCGTCAATGAGTATATATAGTTCTCATTTTAATGAACAAGGGTTCTTGTCTACTTGATATTTTGCACATCTGTAATACTTGTTCAGTACTGTTACTCTATAGTAAAGTAGGCAACATAATGTTGAGCGTAAGCGTAAAAGTAGGTATATACCTAATGGGAGTTTTTATCATTGCTATATTTTAATCATTTTATTGGTTTATTTTTATATATCGTAGATACACATTAATCATCAATCACATTCATTGAGTAATTCGCTGCAGAATATGGCACCCCATATTATCGTAAGCCACCTATATGCACTAACTCTTAGTTTGACAATATCAAAATACATTTGATATTGTCATTTCGGTAAGAGATAGTCTTACATTTTGTTCGTTTATACAGGGTCACATGCGATAAATTTAATATTTGCTAATTTTAAATAAAAGTTTGCTAAAAATTTATTTTTATATTAGTGTTTTAATGAGTGATCCTTGTAAATTATATACTATCCGTTTACTATCAATCAATCAAGTATTTGCACAACACATTTATATTATGGTCTTGTGAGAATTTTGAAAAAATCTTTTCTTGGTACAGACGAAGTCTAAGGTAGACAGGCATAGGTTTGAGACTTAGAAAAACATTAGTAAATTTTAAGTTTCTAATCCCAGCAGTTAGATGGATCACTTGGTTTGTCAGTCTAGGTAAATCGCTTTGTACACATAGAAGATAGATTTTCAATCACATATCGAACATATTCTTTAAACTAAAAATTCCGAGTAAAAGTTTGTAATCGCTAATTTTATTTTTTATTCTTTATTGTACATAAAAAGGAATTATATCAGAAAAACAATTAAACATAATAGAGCACAAGATCGAGCTTATCTCTAAAAGAAATTTAAAACGATTAATAAACTGACAGTTTTTTTGTCGTTTTAAACATACATTAGTACCAATCGACTCAAATGTTATACTTAAAAATAAATAAATAATAATTTTTGTTATGTATCTGAACTAATTGTTTAAAATTTTATTAGTAGAAATGATTGTTAGTAGAATATTTTTATACGCTTATTCTTATAATACCTGCGATGTGTCTTATAATTTTTAATATAAGAACATTTTGTTCCTTTTAAAGTAAGAATACCCCTTCTTTTCCTGTGGGTGTCTGAAGAAGTTACTACTCTAACTTAGTGGTCGAGAGACAGGTAGCAGCTTCTCTTATGCTGGAGGCTTATGTTCAGCAGTGGACATTAACTGTCCACTGCTGAATGCAAGGTTATAATACGATAAATAATACGGTTGATATTATGACGATGATGTATATTCTTATTTTTATTTATTAATTTACTAACAGTATTTTGTCGCGATTGAGCTTGCAATTTTTTTACGGAGGCAAATGTAACGTTGGAACATTTTATCTATATTATTTACCCGCTACTTCACACGTCTTAAGCGCCGGTACTATATCCGAGCCTCACGTAGGAAGTGACGCGTCTCGCCACTGCGGCGCCGTGCCATGCCGGAACTCGGCTGAAGGGTTGCGCCGTCACAAATCAAGTTATGAGAAACGCCACAAAAGGAAACTTTGTGCATTTCCGAACCGACGAGCGTGAAATCCGACGCGCGTGGTGAACAAACGATTTGTTACTTTAAAGTTGTATTCAGAAACGCTTTTTTCGCTCGGCTGGCTTCGAACGCTTTCTGGTACAACTAAACTTGAATGATTATTCTCCTAATTCATATTGAAAATGTTTATAAAATTACATTGTTAACATTTTATTGTTTTATTTTCCGTGTATCTTATTTTTTTTTAATATGCTTATATTATTTATGAGTAGGCAATAAATTTAAAAAAAATTAGTAAGTAGGTATTCAGGTATATAATGTATTTGACTTTATTTCTAACTGCAATGAAATATCAAATAGAAACGGCTTGTTTTTCGCTTTAGGCTAAAAAATATGTGCAAGTCAGTTAAAACCATATCGGTAGTAATATTAAAGTTCTGGAGTATTTTTTATCTCATATTTCATTTATTTGTGTAACTTTTACATAAGTAGTAAAACAGAGTTCCTGTTAATAATATACATGTGAAAGTTTGTAACGATGGATTGATAGCTGGATGTTTGTTACTTTTTCATATAAAAAATGCTGAACAGATTTGATTGAAATTTAGTATATGGTTAGGTTATATCATATCTTAGCACTTTATATACTGATTTACGTAGGTGAAGCCACGTCATATAATTATAGTCAGTACCATAAGTCATAATGTTGATATGAACTAGTAATATTGCTTATGCATGCTCTTGACACTTATGGCAGTTTCACTGCTTATTTTTACACTACAAAAAACAACAATTTTATTGAAGCTGTTATTAATTGTTATTAAACTTAAGTTTAATTAACATTACGTCAAAACTTTATGCATGATGCACGAAACGAGTTACGAAATATAATTGGCATTAAATTTATTTCACTTGACTAATTACAATATATTGAAACGTATGAAGCTAGTATTGTATTATTTTTTAATGGGCATACAGGTTGAAATTAAAATAATTGTAGGTATTCCTATTCGTGTTTCAACCGTGTTTGTTTGTTTCAAAGCAGTTGTGTTTGCATGGCTGTGTTTCGGTTAAAGGGTGGAATATGGTAGTAGATTTACAGGGTATAGAGGCATAACACTTTAGTCTTAAGGAATGGTAATGCATGGAGGGTATCATGGGTGAACCAGTATACTCTATTATGTCCATGACACTATTTATGTCTATAGACGATGATTACTTTCCATCAGGTGGGTTGTTAGCTTGTTTACCATTCTAAGTTACATAAAAAAATGTAGTTTTTATCAGTAAAACTGAAACTTTGAAATGCTATAAAAATTATTTTTTTCTATACTATTCCTTATGACAGTCTATGGGGGAAGCATTAGCCTAGCTCTAGACATAGATCCAGTAATGGACAGATAACAAATGATACGATGATACTAACTTGACAATTGGATGCGCCGTTTTAATATGGGAGGTTCAAAATGTTTTTGCTATCTTTCTACTTATGTTTCTCTGGGAAAAATATTCAGTTTATCTGATAAAAATGATTTATAATAATGATAATAATTTTGATTTAACCTGTATAATGTACCTACATTAAATTCACATATTTTAGTGTTCCATTCACACAGAACGGCTCGGAGAGGAGACCAGATTTTATCGTGTTTAAGAGTTTTAAGATTATTGAAATAAACTTTATCAAAGACTTCAAGAAGAAAGAGGAACATCTGAGTCCTCAGGAATAACAACGCATGGACATAGTACTGCTCATGTCTATAGGCGACGGTTAGCACTTTCCATCAGGTAGGCTGTCAGCTTATTTGCCATTCTAAGTTGCATAAAAAAAATTACAATTTGCCCTTCTCTCTGAGTCGGTCCTGAGTGAACAAATATACATTCCGCTTCGTAAGCTTCAGTAACTTTCATGGTTTTCATTTATTTTATTTTAATTTTTCAGGTCGCGCACTGCCGAGATACTTCTACCAGGGCTTCTTTTTAAGAAGATAAAAGAAAATTAGACAATGTGTTTCAAGTAACTAAATTATATAAAAATGTACAAATAATTTAACGAACATGTAACCATTGTGAATAATCAGATTCATGTCATGTCATGTATATTAAATAAGTTATAATTTTGTAATATATACACATATATATATATTTATGTGCAATAATGTAAAGATAGTATATTCAAAACATGTACATTTGTAAATTTTAAATCTGTGATAAACTAGGTACAGTCAAGTTGAAAATAATTATGTAAAATAATTCTAGCAGTCTTTTTAGACTTGTCTGTCAATAGATTGTATGGTTCCAAATAATTTATGTATGTCGTGTATAATGCTGGAATGGGAATGTATGTAGTAATATAAAGTTAAATAAACTATACAATTTTATACTGTTTGTTTACCAGAGAATATGAATATTTCCACCAAAAAATATTGCTTAATAAATATAAAAAAAAAAGAAATAAATACGTTCAGCTATTAAGTTAGTATGAGAGGCTCATAATGTTTTGCCATATTTCAACCCTGTTTTCTTTGGTAAAAAATTTTAGTTTATCTTTTAAGATGATATTTTTGTTAATCCTTTTAATTTGGTAATCAATTTTATCCTACACATATGATATTGGCTTGTGGTCCCGGCATAGAAAAGGCCACAGCTTCCTTTTTGTGGGTATCATAAAAGGCAATGAAATGAACTTAATAGTTGAGGGATGGGCAGCAGTGCCACTCTTAAGACATCATCAAAACCTGTGGTTACCAATCTGCCTGCCAAGCGTGGCAACTACTGGCAAAGCGTCTTAATAGGCCTATATTCAGCGGTAGTCAGTTTATAGCCGACATGATGATGATGATGATGATGATGATATGGCATTTTTATTTTTATAAAAACTATATTAATAGGTATATGTATGTTACAAATGAGGTATATTTTAGCTCTCTCAAGTATATAAATATGATATTTTTCAATGGGCAAAGATGAAATGGTAACCCCGCCTGCACCATATATATGGTATATGCCTACCAGAAAGAGATGATAGGTGAAAATTAAAGCAGGTCAGTTAGCCTATCGTGACCAATTTAGCAATAATTAAACATAGTGGTTTTCAAGTGAAACCGCGCGGAGGTCGATCTGTTTTATGGGTGATAATGGAATGGTAACCCCACCCGCGCTATCGGTATACACCGGCGTAGCACCAGTGAAAGATGATAGGTGAGGATGAAGCAGGCCAGTTAGCCCATCGTGACGAATTCAATAAGAATTCTTCACGATGGTTTCCAGGGGGAACCACGTGGAGGTCGACCTGATAGGGCATATTGCTAGCAATGGGGCTGTCAAACTCCATTGCTATCAACCCCTTTCCCCCCAGGTCAATCTGTTAGGATATAGTAACGGGGCTGTTAAACCACTTTGTTAGCAATTACTTTCCCAATATAAATATGATATTAGACCTGCACAGATAATGTTTTTACAACGGACTTTTCCTTTTTACTTCATCTTGTATTTTTGTATGAGGTAAAAATGGTTTATGCTGGATTTGCTGGAATTTTTGGTATGTACATATATAGTACTAGTGCATGATAAAAGGTGGTATTGTATGATATTGTATACCTTGAAAAGTATATTAATTTTGATCATTATTATGTCATCATAATAAAAGGTTATTTTCAAATTCGATGGATGAGGAATGTAGTAAAGTTAAATGAACGTGAAGCAGTTGTGTTTGCATGGCTGTGTTTCTGTTTGAAGGGTGGGATATGGCGTGAATTTACAGGGTACAGAGGAATAACATCTGAGTCTTCAGGAATGGCAACGCATGGGGGGTATCAGAGGCGAAACAGTATATTCTGTTATGTCCATGGTACTGCTCATGTCTATAGGCAACGGTTACCACTTTCCATCAAGTGGGCCGTCAGCTTGTTTGCCATTCTAAGTTGTATAAAAAAATAAAAATAAAAAATGAGATTTGCCTATAGGTACAGATGTAGTGCAGCTACTTTCATCATGTTACATGCACCATTTCGTCGCCTAAACGAAATTCTCTCTGTCCAAGTGGGAATAGTAGGACAGAAACATATGGATAGGTATGCAAAATAAATTCTACTTTTTGCCCTTTATGATATAAAATTATAAGAATTTGTCTAAGTAGGTAAATTGTCACAATTAAATTATGTTTCATAAAAAACCGACTTCATTTGTGGCAAAACCATAAATATATTGATTTAAAAACTAAACTACTCAACTAATTTTGATAAAATTTCTATGGAACTAATCTATAAGTATTCTACCACATAAAAAAAAAAAAATTTCTAAATCGGCTTACAACTGACGGAATTATGAGGTATAAAAATATAAAAAAAAAACATTCTAATTTAAAACCTTTTTTTTAAGTTGGTTGAAAGTTTGTAAACAAACGTAAATTATGATATACAGTCTTAATTAAGATTTGAAAGTGAATCATTATTTTTTGTAAAATTTTGATTGTACTTTGACATATAAATTGTATAAAACATATGAGTACGATATAGTTAGTTTATAATACCGTAATAAGTAAAGGTGTATCTTGCCTTACAACAGTATTATAATACTGTAGTTCTGAAAAACGGTAAACACTTTGAGTATACTCAAGATGGTGCTCAGTGGTATAATCTTTATAGTATCTATTCGTATGAGTACTAGACAAAGATTATGTGCTATATTTTTAAGCTACTTCTAAAAAGAAACGTGTTTTTATTCGCCTGTATTTTTTGTGTGTTTGATACTTGCTATATTAGACCCATAAATTTTGATTACTTAGAAAATATACAAATACAATACTAAAAAACTTGAAGAAGTAAACGCGTATCCTGTATATGTCTGACGTAGGGTTATTTATTTTTAAATTAGATTCTGTTTCAGATGTAGCCTATATTCTCCTGCTTTGTATTCGTAATATAGCTATTACGTTCAATAGTGACAGAGCTTCTGCGTCGCTATACTATAAACACCTCATTTTATTTTCAAAGAAAACGTAATGTATTTTGAGGGACAAAATTCTTTTTGATATGCAAAACATGAATACGCAGATCTGTACAAGCAGATATACCTAGTTCGATGAAATATATTTCTTATTTAAAATTTATACTATTTGTGTGTTTAGGTAATCTATTTAGTATAAAAGCGAAAATGCAAAAATCAATCTTCTCAATTTTTAGTATTATACTAGTTCAATATTTTGGCTTATTGACGTATAAATGATCATCAAAAAATAAAACACTTTTTGTGGATGCTTCTTTATTACATGAATTTTGATTTACAATTTTTAGCTATAACAAATTCGAAAAGGAATATATAATATAATAATTGTCTAGATCGATATCCGTATTTCAATGCCATGTAACTAGGTAGCGTGCAGTCGTCGTCTCGTACTGGAAATATAAAAAAGAAATAATTATTTATATCTGAAGCATTGCCTTACAAATTATTATTGTATTATTAATTAAATGCGTATTTAATACTGTAAATTTTTTTTATATTTTATATAGCACTAGCTATTGTCCACGTGGTGTCGCCTTAAAGTAGAAATTTTCAAAAATCCTTTCTCAGCGAATACTTATTAAATAAATATTAGCTGTCTTGATTAGGAAGGTATTATAAATTGTGTATATTGGTTAATATTTCAGTTTGGGGGAAAGGGATTTTTAGTAATGAGTTTAACAGTCTCACTGCTTTGGGGGGAAGGGATTGTTAATAATGGAGACTTAGGGCTCCATTGCTAGCAATATACCCAACCAGCCAGTTGACCTCCACGTGGTCCCTCCTGGAAACCGTCGTTAATAACTATTGCGAAATCGTCACGACAGGATAAATGATTTGTTTTCATTCTCACCTACCTTCCATTTCTGGTATCGGTTATTTTTTTGTTTAACTCAAACTATCAATAGGTTACTAGTTTGTTAATATTGGAAAACATAGTCTCGCGACAGCTTGATAGAATAAAATTCGAAGTCAAATCTCTCGTTATTCTGACCGAAATTTAAAATCCCAAATATAGAATAATGACCATTATAAAATTGTTTTCAAATAGCTCTCTTAGCTGTTAGCAGTGGAGAACTAATTACTAATAATCGTACATTTTAAACGATAGTTTTTATCATTGGACAATTACATATATCAACAAGTATTTGATGATTTGTGAACAACAGATTTAAATATAACAACTGTTGGCCACAATGCTCTAACATATTTACGTTTGATAAAATTTTATATTATATATTAAATGCAACTTTTAAAATAAAATCTATGGTCGTATATGATATATTGTTTTAATATTATGTCCAACAAACCTTCTTTACTAGGGAACGCAGGTCGATTATTCATGACCTGTAATAAGAAAAAAAAAATTGTATGATACTTTCCTCTAGTTTCCTTATTTTAAGTGTAATGTCAATTTGGATATTGATATTTATTATTAAATTTCTATTAGTTAATTTTTCTTTTAAATATAACATTATTGTTATTCTATGGCCATTACAATAACAATCAAAGAAAAATTTGATATTGCGAATACTTATAGCGTTTGAATTTATATATTAATAGTTGCATAAATAAAATTTGTATTTTGTTCTTCCAAATACCATTTTCTGTACTTAGAAAAAAGTCTCACTGTGTGTTTTTAATTGAGTTCTAGGCTATTAAACGATTTTTTAATAACTTTTTACAATATATTTTAATATTTATGCACATAAGAATAAGAGAAAATTGATTTTTTTTGCAAAGTTTTATTTTAAATTATTGTATCTACTGCTATTTACCCCAGATTTGTATGAGTGAATTAGTATTCAAAATTTCACACTCAAAGTCCAAACTTTTGCAAAAAATTTCATCTTTTGCCGCTGTATTGTGTTACGATTTAAATATTTGTTTCAATTTTTTCTATTAAAATATGTTAATTTCGTTCGTTCGTTTTAAAAGGAGATTAATTTTATTTTTCGTTGAAATTAGAAAAAATATTTATTGTATTCATTATAAAGTATATATTCTTTATGGGGGAGGCCTACGTTCAGCAGTGGACAGTTAACGACCGATATCATATATACTGTATTAGTATTTATAATCTTGATGAAGTAATGCAATTATGACTAGACGAGGCGTAGGAGTTATTTAAGGAATATTGATATGATATATGGGATCTTAATTAAAGTAACAGAAGCCGTAACTATAATTTATATAAATTTTGTCTGCCTGTATGTTTGTTAATTGTAATGGATATAATGAATTAGATATATATCTAATACAGTCTACAGCAAAACAAACAATATAATCAACATTGATTATATTGTTTGTTTTGCTGTGGACTATATAAATTCAAATCTAATTTCAGACCATTGCTAAAATGTTGATGCATTGGTTT